ACAACTGCAACCACCACAACTGAAGTCGCAACAACTGCAGCTCCTACAACTGCAACCCCCACAACTGTAGCCCCCACAACAGTAACAACTACAACTGCAGTCTCCACAACTGGAGAATCTATGACTATAGCCCCCACAACTCCAGCCTCCACAACTGCAACCACCACAAATGAAGTCGCAACAACTGCAGCTCCTACAAGTGCAACCCCCACAACTCTAGCACCCACTACTGTTACAACTGCAACTGCACCCTCCACAACTGGAGAGCCCACGACTGCAGCAACTCCAGTCTCCACAACTGCAACAACCACACCTGAAAACGCAACAACTGCAGCTCCTACAACTGCAACCCCCACAACTGTAGCCCCCACTACTGCAACAATTACAAATGCACCCTCCACAATTGGAGAGCATACGACTGCAGCCTCCACAACTGTAATAACTACAACTGCACCCTCCACAACTCGAGAGCCTGCGACTGCAGCCTTCACAACTGTAGCCACCACAACTGAATTCGCAACAACTGCAACCCTCACAACTGTAGCCCCCACAACTGTAACAACTACAACTGCAGCCTCCACAACTTCAGCTCCTACGAGTGGAGCCTCCACAACTTCAGCTCCTATGAGTGCAGCCTCCACAACTGCAGCCTCCACAACTGTAACTCCTACGACTGCAGCTTCTAAAACTGCAACCACTACAACTGAAGTCGCAACAACTGCAGCCCCAACAACTCAAACCGCTTCAACAGAAGCCCCCAATACCGCGGCCCATACAACTGCAGCTACAACAACAGCAGCCCCTACCGCTGTAGCTGCTACAACTGGGTTCCCTCCAACTGTGGGCCCCACGACTGCATCAACAACAACAACTGCATTTTATACTACTACAGCCCCCACAACGGTAACAACTACAACTGCAGCCTCCACAACTGGAGAACCTACGACTATAGCCTCCACAACTCCAGTCTCCACAACTGCAACCCCCACAACTGTAGCCCCCACAACTGCAGTCCCCACAACTGCAACCACTACAACTGCAGTCCCCACAACTGTGTCCTTCACAACTGAAGTTGCAACAACTGCAGCCCCAACAACTCTAACCCCTTCAACGACCCTGATCATATCGACTCCAGAAGAACCAACATCACAGGGTACTTTACTCCAATTTTGTATTTTTCCCTTCTCTTTCAACTTCATGACACATGAATGATTAATGTATTTATTTCCATATTATGTGATTTAATCCCATCAGGTTTATCACTGGCACACCTACAGATGAGATTAACTACCTTTGGGGATGTCAGCAATGGAACCATTATTGCACTTGTTAAACAGGTATGTAAAACACTATTTGACGTATGGCTTTTATGTGAAAGCTCCTCACTCAACATAATTAATGAAAGGAATGAAATATAACTTCTGTTTTCTGTCCATTTAGTTTTTTGGTGACCAGCTCCCGAGTGGAACAGCCCACACAGTTACCGTGACAAACCTTCAAAGGGTTCAAGTGTCCCCATAGAAACTTCATGTAGATTTATAATGATAACAGAACTTAACAATTTCATCATATCAGGAAAGAGTCTTTCATTTGTTTATATTGTTTTCAGCTTGTGCACAACGTATTAATTGTCATTTTACTCCAATATGTTGCACTATTCTCCAAATCACTCTTAGTTGCAAGAGACGGTGTGTTTGATCAAGGTCAAAGGCTTATATTTTAGGCTCACACCCCCCTCTTATGTTTTCTTTATGATCTTTCTAAATGAACTCAATCTGATTAAAAAACACTTTCTCTCTCTATATACCTTAAGACCCATTTTCACTTTTAACCAAACAATATTCTTGTGTGTGCTTTATTTCCCGGAATGTGAAAGGTGAGTTAGTGTATTAGGCTCAAGTGTCAAATGAATTGCAGAGTACAATAGGAAGCTCTAACCCACCATCTGAACAGTCAAAGAGGTTTTAAGAGGTGGTAATACATTCCCATGCTCTGAGATTAAAGGAGCAGCTGCCATGGTGACAAGTCTGGTAACCAGGAAACTATCCTAGTATATAAATATTATGACTCCTCCTTTTAACCGTGCAACGTTTCACACAAAATCTAACCCCAGTTAGTTGCAGCCCTGTTACAATGTTTGACAATTGTACACCAAATGAATGGCCTGTTAAACAGTACTGACAAAATGTAACAAAATGTTATGTGTATTGAATGGGAATTTGTTTTGCTTTGCACCATCAATAAAACATAATTATACATATTTAGCTTATGCAATTGGTCTTTCCATTTAATTGGAAAAGCAGAATATGAATGGACTGCTTTACTCCAACGGGTGGCACTTGCCTTTATGTGGTGGTGTCAGTGAGGAGGACGCTGTGATGCACAGCAAGTATCATGGACAACGACTCTCACGCTCTCCAACATGTGATTTAACGTAATGGAGCATAAAGGGCAACAAATTGCACAATAGGCGCTATAATAGAAATAAATATTGAAATTGTTTAATATACATGTACCTGTAGAAATGTAATATTGTACAAACATAGCTATATGACACTTTTCATATATATCTATGTTTAATGAGTTAATCATAGATATATGAGAAGTGTCACATAGCTATTTTTATGATCATGAAGTAACCTGAGTTAAGAGCAACTTGTGATCCTTATCTTTAACCACCTTTGTTAATATGTTTGCATTGTCTATATTTTACACTTGCACCTTTGTTGGTAGTTTATATTTCCCCTATGTCTTACTTTACATTATAACTGCTGCACAGCATTGAATCAAGTTGTTCTTATAAAAAGGGTAGAAAAAGGTCTTATATGTTTTTAGTAAATTTTGATTTTATGCATTAAAATTGATACAAGTATAAATTACCCCCTACAGGTTCTTCTGAATTTATATTTGTTACGGAGAAAATAATGTCTATTAATATGAGTTGGCAAATGTCTTGCAATGTGTTTAAATCATAGTAACATTTTAATGCAATATAGGAAAAGTTATTAAAAACTAATATCACTCATAACAAATATATATTTCATACAAGAGTATTTGTTTATATACTACGGCAGTGTTTTGTTACAATGTTCTATATCAGTAAACCATTATCTGTATAACTTGCAAATAAATTATTTGTTTAAAAATCTAAACTATTAGTCTTTTAATTTTTTATAACATACTGTATCTTGTGACAGCCCAGTTGTCAGGCGTATAGTGCAACTCCTGCAGCAAACTCCAGAGACCTCTCGGCCGTGTTTGTGTTGGTTCCTTCTGGGGAGTTTTTCATTTGGCTCAATGTTCAGTTGTAAGTCAAAGCCATGTTACATTTCAAAAGCATATATAACAATGTTAAGGTAAGTTCAGGTCAAATAATGGAACACTGCTTTAATTTAAAGGTCCCATGTCATGCTTTTCCGGTTATTACCCATCCCATTGTGTGTTATGAAGGTTTGTATGCATGTCAACGGTCTGCAAAGTCACAAACCCTCAAAGTACACCTTGTAGTGAGTAAAACTCTAACGCAGAAAAGAACGCTTCGTTGGAGATTTATCTTTTTCTTCCTGGGTTCAGTGACGTGACCATACCCAAATGGACCCATTGGTCCACCGGGTCCGTCTGCGCCGCGTCACGGCTGCGCCGCGGTTTTGGTCCGACCTCCTCCAGCTTCATAACCCACCGGGCGCGTTTCAGAAGCGGAGCGTCTTGCGTGCCGGCTCGCAGTTTTTGTTGATTTGGGCATATTTCCTGGAAAGGCTAGTTAATAATAATTGTAATATTCCAGTTATAAACGACATGAATCAAAGATGTGTTGCTGTATTTTAATGGTAAAAAAATGCATTCATCATCATAATTATTCTATATAATTTACACAGTGCCTGTAATAGGGTGTGCAAAATTAGTTTATTTTGGGGATTGACTGGATTCTCAGACCCTTCCACTTCCTGCCCGGCGCCATGCAACGCGTTGCGTCGAAAATAGACTTGCGTCCTATTTTTAGCGGAGCAGCGCCGAGACGCTTCTGGGACGCTTCTGGGACGCTTCTAGCCGTAACGCAGCGTGTCTGGTGGAATAGCACCCATTGACTAGAGTGGCCACGATCGCTGTGAACGCGGCCGTAGCGCGGTGCAGACGGACCCGGTGGAATCTAGGAGTTACTGTAGGTGCGCCACGTTTGGGGGCGTCCATACGCTGTCTCGCAGATCCCACGCAGTGAGAAGGAGATGAACCCAGCTCACACTGTCCGCTCCTCGCAGCAGCGAGCCGCGCAACGTCCCGCCAACACGGCACCCAGACCCCACGCAGCATTCTCATCTGTTTGTCCTTACTGGTGTCATTTCCTGGTTGCTAACAAATGCCATTGTAACACATAATCACTGATGTTCCGCTGTAACGGTGGTGGATGTAATAGTATTCATTGTTACTCCAAGTTCATTTTTTTAACCAAGGGACACGATTGGTCTGGAAAAGTTTAACCAATGAGGAAGTGTTTAACATCTGAAAAGAGTCTACTGTTTGTACAACTTTCAGAAAACATTTCATATATCCACATTGGTATTATTTAAAAAAGGTCATGTTCTTTTCATCATTTTCAGGACAGACTACCTTTGGATATGTTTCTATGTGATCAAGGATTAATATTTGTATTTTTAATTCAGAGATTGTAGACCTAGGTTGTACAATGAAAACCCAGTGTACGCAATTTAATCTATTGATTTTTCAGTTTCACACAGAACGATTCTAAAAACAATGTATTTCTATTGGTAGTATCTTTCGTGCCTGCACCATGTCTTCTTTTTATCAGGGCGAGAGTCAGGTATTGGGAGACCGGAAGCTGAGTGGGTTAACACGTTTTATAGAGAGGCGAAGTCACGCCCATCTACTTCCGGTCCATGGGACCCCGGAAGCGAAAAATTATACATTGAATTC